TCTCCTTGATCATTCTAGTGAAACACATTTTTGTTAGTTAAAAAGTCCTCAAAATTTTATTAAAAATGTCTGTACTGTATTTATTAAAGTATTTGCCCTCTTATATCTAATTCTAAACATCTAGTTGTCCACAAATTCCCATTTTCATAAACAAACTGTCTTGTCTTATTTGTGAACTGATGTGAAGTGAATCTGTATGTATAGAGCTATTCCGTATTCTCCCAAAAGTGTTAACAATTGTCATCTCTGGAAAGTGACATTTCAGGTAGGCAGTTCTTTATAATTTTCTATCTTCATTTCTCATGAATAACACTATCACATACTTAAAAAAATAGCCTTTTTAACTGGCTGACAGTATCAGATGTTAGGTGTCTGATGTCCAAATACGAACTAATCTTTAGGTAACACCAACTAGTATTTGAAAATCTCATTTATAGTTCCAGATCATGTGTGTACACATTATTTTACTTGATTCTTTGGGCATATACATTCTTTCCCCTCTGTGTATGTGTGAGTGTTAAACTACATTTCTAATCCTTTAATAGGAATAGTTCACAAAAAGTTTAACAAACTGTAAGGTATCCCTTATCTGCCCTGGCATAGGTAGAGGTAGGGAAAGAATAAAAGACGGAGCCAGTACCTTCCCAGTTGTCTCTGTCCCTTCATCCTTTTTGCCTTTCTTCCTTCCACTTCCCCTTGGTTGTTTCTGAACTCAGCCATCAACTGTGGTAACTACACCTGAGCAGGCCCCTCCTGAAGTAGCAGTGGGCTCCACCCTGGGACAACAGCAGCTGACTGGGCCACCTAAGTCAGAGGTGCTTACGGTCAAACCTGGAACTTCAAAGCAGAGGAAATCCTAAATGAAAATCTCCCTTCCCATCTCCTGCTTACTCTTATTGTCTCCCTCAAAAGACATGTATTCTCACACCTTTACACACAGAACTTTAAAACTTCAAGCAGTTTTGGCCTAAACCTACAAGATGAAGACTTAAAAGATCACTAGAAGATCACATAACTCCTCCCCACCTTCGCTGTAACCGTAGAAATAAAGGAAAGGAAATGAGGCAAGGTATAAATTATTTAGGTAAAAAGGCTTTTCAAAATTTAGGATAACAAATCATCCTTTCGCATTTTAAGATGAAAAGACAATTTTGATGTTACAAATGAGATTGAAAACTCTGTTTCAGAATCCTTAGCCTGCTGAAATCAGTTTTTTCCTGAACGGGTTTAAGGATTCAGGACTATTTATTATATACAAAATACTGGATTTTCCAACCAACAATGTTAAAAAGTATTATATTTAATCTAATATCTTAAATATTGTTAGGAAAGGTAGTCATGAATTACAGACCTGCAGGTCAAGGACAAATTTAAATACAATTCCAAGTGCCCAATCTTCTCCTAGGTTAGAAAAGTTTATGTCTCCCACTAGATAACTTATTAACACCACAGGGAAAAACGGTATCTCGACAATGGAGAAATCTCACAGACACCACCTTATCCAAGAAATCAAAGTTAACTTCACCAGTGATAGAAGAGAAACATATCATGTGCTGCCTAATAGATGCAATGAGAAAGACACAGGATCATTTCTATTATATTCCTGCCCAAAATGCAAAAACTGAATTGAATCATGAAGAAACATTAGTCAAACCCAAACTGAGGAATATTCTACAGAATAAATGACTCTTAAAAAGTTATGGTCATAGAAGAAAGCCTGAAGTATGATTCTAGATTAAGGCCTATTTAAGTACAAGTATTGTGTCTGTGTTAATTTTCTCAGCTTGATCATTTGTTTGACTTTGTATAAAGTCTTTGTTTTTCAGAAAGATACACTTATGTTTTCAAGGGTAAAGGGGCATCATGGATGTAGCATATTCTCAAGTATTTCATTATATATATGTATATATAAAAGAAAATACACATGAAGAGAAAAGAAAATACACAAGAGAGAATGATAAAGCAAATGTGGCAAATGTTACATTTGGAGAATCTGGGAGAAGGGTATATGGAAATTATTTGCACTGTTTTTGTAACTTCTAAGTCTGAATTTGCCTCAAAATAAAAAAAATTCAAATAAAAAAACTCTTTGATTCTTCTGGAGATGCGTTATTTCTTGGCTGCTCTGGGCTTCAGCACGAGGGAGTTACTATAAGAGTAGAGAACACATTTACTCCGTAGACCCAGAGGACTCAGTCCTTTATCCCCACCCTCAATCATATACTATTTATATAGCGTTGAGATGTAAAATGTATAAGCAACAGCTGAGGAAGCTATCAAATGTTCTAAGGAAATGTACTCACCATTTTTTTTAACCCCCAAATTAATCTGTTACCATAACAGATTAACACAGAGTTCATAAATTAACGCTTCTTACCTTCTCACTATGAAGGAGAGCATGCATGGCAGCTTCCCTACAGAGTGCTGTCAGGTCGGCACCAACATAGCCAACTGTCATTTCTGCAAGAAGGCCCAAATCAACATGACTGGAGATGGGCATCTTTGAGGTAATCGCTTGCAGAATTTCCTTTCTTTGTTTAAGTGTGGGAGTCCCAATGACCACCTATATGCAAAGCAAAACAACAAAAAAAGAAGTTTATAGTTTAAAATATATTCTTTTTAAAGTTGATCTCATGGATGGAGGTAGACAGCAGAATGAATAGCAACCAGAGACTGGGAAGGGTTGGGGGGTGAGGGGATGAAGAGAGGTTGGCTCATGGGTAGAAACATACAGTTAGATAGAAGGACTAAGTGTAATGTTTGATAGCATAGTAGGTTGAACACAGTTAACAATAATTTCTTGTATATTTCAAAATTGCTACTGGAGAGAATTTGAAATATTCCCAACACCCAGGTAAGAAATGATAAATGTTTGAGGTGATGGATATCCTAAACACCCTGATTTGATAATTACAAATTGTTTGCAGGTACCAAAATATCACATGTACCCCAAAACATGCACGATTATGTATCAATAAAAATAGATCAATTAAAAAAGTTACTTCCAAAAAAAATTATATATGTGTATGTGTATATATATATATTATGTATTCATTTTTGAAACACAGTTTCACTCTGTTGCCCAGGCTGGAGGGCAATGGGCACCATCGGCTCACTGAAACCTCCACCTCTTGGTTCAAGTGATTCTGGCGCCTCAGCCTCCCAAGTAGCTGGAACTACAGGCACGCGCCACCACGCCCAGCTTATTTTTGTATTTTTAGTAGAGACGGGGTTTCACCATCTTGGCCAGGCTGGTCTCGACCTCCTGACCTCAGGTGATCCACCCACCTCAGCCTCCCAAAGTGCTGAGATTGCAGGTGTGAGCCACCAAGCCCTGCCAAAATAATAATACATGTTTTTTATGCTGATAAACATGTACGACAATTTAGTGACCCATTTTGGAACTAGTACTGTGCACTTTACGTATAGCTTAGATTCTGAATATATGAAAATCCTAATACTCCAGGAGTAACACTGGCTAGAAAGTTGCACAGTGAAAATTCTATGTCATTTAACAAGTTTTTGTTATTTTTACAACACACAAAGTTCTAGAAGCCAGGTATAGATAGCTAGGTCCCTGGCTCTTAAGGACACAAAGGTACTAGATAGTGCAAGGAAGAAATCCACTCAAGTCCTGAACTAACTAAAAGAGTGTAATTATCATTTCTCTTTTGAATCCTATCACAAAATAGAAATATCAGTCACTAAATTTCAAGCTATTCTTTAGCATTCAAGTCAATTTAGGACCAAAGCTTATAAAATAGAACAGCTCTGAATATTCAACCTCCCTGACAACTCAGGGAGCAGTTGTGGGTACTTTCTCAATTGTGGGATAGGGTGCTGGTGTTATGACAAGGAATGAATAAATCCAGAAGAGTTAATGCCTGCTTCCATTTAGTTCTTCCCCGCCTTCTCCCTTTTTATTTCAACACACTTACTTCTTGAGGTTATCCTTCTTTAAATTCTCATTCCAAAACATGAGTTTAACATGCTTGTAGGTGACCAAAATTCTCTTAAGAATTAACATTACTGATTATAGGACCTGCACAAAATTAATCCGTAATGGCCACCCCGCTTCCCAAAACAATTAAGACTCTGGGGAAATACAGGTCCTGACAATCTGACTCTGGGGAAACACGGGTCCTGACTCACAGATCATAGATGGGCAGAGAACGTGTTCTTTGCATTGCAAAGCGCCCCACTCCAACCTCACCGATGCTCAAACCTAAGAGACAAACGCCTCCGGGGCAGCCAACTAGTGCCAGAAAAGGCCGAGGTTCCACCGACAGTGGGCGAACCCGCCAAGCCCATTCACCTCTCGGTCAAATCTCCCGGGTCTACGCAGCGCTGGATCTAGAGCGTCCGGCCGGTTGGTGGCTCCCACAACCACGACCTCGCGGTCCCCACTTGCACCGTCCAGCAGCGTCAACACCTGGGCCACTACGCGGCTCTCGGGTGCTCGACCGCCCCGCCGGGGACACAAAGCGTCCACCTCGTCCAGGAAGAGGAGGCTGGGCCCGCGGCTGGCCAGCTCCCGGGCGCGCTGGAAGACCCGCCGCACGTTCTCCTCGGTCTCCCCAGGCCGGGAACCCTGCAGCGCGGGGGCGCTGACTGCCAGCAGCTCCGCGCCCGCCTCGCGAGCCACGGCCCGCACCAGCTGGGTCTTGCCCACTCCGGGGGGCCCCGCCAGGAGCACCCCGCGGGGCACCGCTAAGCCCAGCGAGGCCAGGGCGCGCGGGTAGCGGAGCGGGAAGTGGAGGAGCTCCCGCAGCGAGTCGGCCGCCTCCGAAAGACCTCCCAGGGGCACCTCGGGCTGCGGCTGGGCTTCGGACGGAGGTTCCCCGCCAAGGCCGACGCGAGTGTGAGGGGTGACCAGCCCAGCGGGATCGGGACTGGGCGTTCCGCCGACGATGTGCAAGGCAGCCACCGGGCCAGGAGCGCCCGGCGGAGCGACCACCACGTGGCCCAGGGAGACCGGTTGGTTTCTCAGCAGCTCCTGCGCCGCCTCCAGCACCGCGGCTGTATTCGGGGCACCAGGCGCGCCCGCCAGCTCTCGCAACACCGGCCACACGGAGACGCGCCGCAGGGGCGGACAGGGCACTAGGAGGAGGTGGCTCAGGCTGAGACTCCTCCGGGATCTCGGCGCCCCGACCGCCGCCCCGGGGCTGGCGCACAGCGGGTCCAGCTGCACAAAGCCGTTCGCTCCGTCCCGCCGAGGCCAGACAGTGCAGAGGCAGGAGCCGCCGTCGGGTAGCGAGATCTTCACTGCTGAGCCCAAGCGCGCGCCCAGGGCGTGGAGGGCGGCCAGGCCCAGGCGGCAGCGCTGGGTGCCCCGGTCTCTAGCGTCTAAGGGTAGCAGCTTTAAGAGAGGCCCTTCCGGGAAGGGATCCGAGTCCGGAGCCATTGCACACAGATCAACCAGGCATAAGAAAAGCAGAGCAGGAAATCCACCCGGCCCACAAAGAGTGGAACACCGAGCTCGCAGGCCGGAAGCAGATGGCGCGCATGCGCTAGGGAAGACTGCGTTGCCAGCCGCTGAGTGAAGGCCGAAAGGGCCAATGGGAACATTAGACGACGCATTTGTCCCTGGGTAGAGCGTTGGTGTCCGCTTTCGTGAAATCGAGTTGCCCACCCCAGAGCTTTGCTGAGATGGTCTTCATTACAGGTGTCTAGGAGGCGGCGTAAGCTAACTTCACTAGGTCATTAAGCATGTACTTTGGTGGTTACTTATATTTTGGAAGTCACCGGCGTTACATTCTGTTTTCCTGGCCTTCGAACTGGAGCATCAGTACTGCCGCTGTTGGAATAGCAACCTAGAGACTTTGCTATTTTGTGAACAAACTCCACCTATCCTCATGGGCACAGAATTTTGGGTGCTCTGGTGCAAATATCTGAGGTGACTTGGCGTAGCTGAGAATACAGCCTTGGGGCCTTCGATAATCGGCGTTCCAATCTGGGAGGTCCAGGCACAACCCTTCCTATGGAAAAGCACCAGCATAGTGGGAGGGAAGCACACTGTGGCACTTAAAATCCCTTGTAGAGAGGAAGGAAGAAAAACTAGGTTACTTGATGGATTTGAAACACACTAATAGTATATTTATTCTGATTTCTGATATTCTTTTGAATATTATTTGGCAACAAGTTATCACTACTTAAGTTCATGCGATCAATGCTTGCTCTCTAATTGGGGCACAACAGTGTTGAGTCCTGTATTAGAGGCGATACCTATCTACATTATTAAGACAACTGCCTGCTATTTTTTTTTTTTTCCCACCTGCTTTCTGCCTTTCCTCTCCCTTTCGCACAGGGAATTCCTTTTTATCAGCTGGAATACATTTTCTATCCTTCTTAATTGCCTTATAAAAAAGAACTATGGATATTCAAAGACAAGAAGATACACCTTGTTTTTATTTGACTTACATCTTCCTATCTCTATTTTTCCCACTTTCACTGCAACCCAAATTTGTGAGTTGACAAAACTGATATTTTAGAGTTCTTAAGTTGCTGGGGAAGTTTGTTTGTTTTTTCTATCTATGCAAATAATCAATTACAGACTGTGTAGTAATATCTTATCAATGGGAAGTACTTTCAGATCTGGGATCTTAAGACCAATGCCGCCGGGCGCGGTGGCTCAAGCCTGTAATCCCAGCACTTTGGGAGGCCGAGACGGGCGGATCACTAGGTCAGGAGATCGAGACCATCCTGGCTAACACGGTGAAACCCCGTCTCTACTAAAAAATACAAAAAACTAGCCGGGCGAGGTGGCGGGCGCCTGTAGTCCCAGCTACTCAGGAGGCTGAGACAGGAGAATGGCCCAAACCCGGGAGGCGGAGCTTGCAGTGAGCTGAGATCCGGCCACTGCACTCCAGCCTGGGCAACAGAGCGAGACTCCGTCTCAAAAAAAAAAAAAAAAAAAAAAAAGACCAATGCCAATTCCTGACTCATTCTATCCAAACTTCATGGCAGACATGACAGACTTCTTGACTCCACAGTAACTTATCTGGTCTCTGCTGTACTTTTCTGCTTAAATCGATTCTGGAACAACTTAGGGATCAGAAAATAGCAGGAGAAGGTCTTGAAATGGGTAAGTCACCCATTACTTCCTGTTTTCTTTTTATCTCTTAATCCCATTGGCTTCAGTTCTTTTTGGTTTTGGGACTTTTAAATAATAGCTTTGCATTTTCTGAAAAAAAAAAAAAAAGCCATAGTTTTTACTTACTCCTAAAGGTGTGAATAACATGCCTATCAAGTTATTTTACATATATCTTGTACAGAAGCCTGTACCTCATAGAGTTCCTGAATAGTTCCAAGAAGTTTTGAGGATCTGGGAGAGGGAAAGAAGACTTACTGAGGACATGATAACTGTCTTAAATATGTAAAGAGATCTCATGTAAAGGAGTTAGTAGATTTACTTATATTTACAGTGCAGAAATGGCCAAGAAGTAAAGGTTTAATGGAGTGGAATAACCAAAGCCAACATAGGGAGCCAGTAAAGTTAAATCGGCCTTAAAGTTTTCTGAATTGGTTTAAAACAGAGTCACAAACTATGCTATTAGGAATATGATAAGGAGGAAACTACATGTTGCTTTGGGTTGGTCTAAGAGGCTGATTTTATACAAGGTCAAACAAGAACCCTCTGACCTTATATAATCCATATGCACAGGAAATATTCTTTCACTTCACTCTTTCCCTAAAAGATGCAGTCTTTACCCTAGGTCGCAAACAAAAGCAACAAGGAATTCTGTTACTGGGCCTTCAGCTCTTACCCACTCATTCTAAGCAAAACTGTAAATGTCTTTCCCAATCAACCAGTAAAATCCATTCTGTCCCTTTAGGTATAACCATTTGCAACACTATGATTTCATCCATATTTATCACTGCCATTCAGTGACATAATCTCCTTATGATAAACCATTCTTTTTATTTTTAAAATTTTATTTATTTTTTAGACAGTCTTGCTCTGTCACCCAGTCTGGAGTGCAATGGCGGGATCTCAGCTCACTACAACATCTGCCTCCCAGATTCAAGCAATTCTCCTGCCTCAGGCTCCCGAGTAGCTGAAATTACAGGTGCCTACCACCACACCCGGCTAATTTTTGGATTTTTAGTAGAGATGGGGTTTCACCCTGTTGGCCAGGCTGGTCTCAAACTCCAGGCCTAAAGTGATCCACCTGCCGCGACCTCCCGAAGTGCTGGGAGTACAGGCATGAGCCACTGCACCTGGCCTCCTTGTGGTAAACCATTCTAATGGGACTTGTGTGGGTCTTTTGCTTAGTGGTTTTTAATCTGACCAGAAATTTGGTAATTCTATGAATTGAAGAATTAAATCTATTAAATCACCAGAACTGAACCACTAGAGGGAGTCCAGAACCAACTAAGCCTGAAGGCTACAGGATTGTTAGGACATTGGTGTTCTCAACTGTAGTTTCCAACTCGATTTTCCCAGGATCCTCATCTAGATGTGTGAAGCCATCTGTTGTCTCTATATATTAACTGGCTTAGTCTGTTCAGGTTGCTGTAACAAAATACCACAAACCAGGTAGCTTATAAATAACAGCAATTTATTTCTTACAGTTCTGGAGGCTGGGAAGTCAAAGACAAGGCACTGGCAGATTCCATGTCTGGTAAGGGCCCACTGTCTGGTTTAGAGATAGCTCACTACCCGCACATGGTGGAAGGGACTAGCTAGCTCTCTCATGTTTGTTTTATAAGCACACTAATCCCATTCATGAGGGCTCCACTCTCATGACCTAATCACCTCCCAAAAGGCCCTGACTCCTACTACCATCATCTCAAGGGTTAAAATTTCAACAAATGAATTTTGTGGAGGACACAAACATTGAGATCACAGCAGTAACTGACTTATTCTCACATAATTTTCACATGCCTCAAGCCATGTAAAACTCAGTTTCTAAGTTAAAATTTAATTTCTGTGTTAAGTATAAAAATGAGACCCTTCCTAAATCCAAAATTTAGTGGTAGGTCAAAATCCAAACCGATGGAATTCATCTTGCTATAGCCTAGAAACATTTCTAGCTTTAAATTGTTTCAAATAGCTTTGCCAAACAAAATCTTTTGTGAGATTTTCCCAAAGATGCATGTAACAAATAGTTTCTCTTTATGTCCTTTGCTGCTTTCAAGGTTACAATGTAATTTTTAATTAACTATAAAAATTCTTAATTAGCTTTAAGTCTATAATTCAAAAGAAATAATTGGAACCTGTTTCTTCTTGAGGATAATGATCATACATGATTTTTGTCCCTTCAGCATATTATTTTTATATATATATAAATATATTCCTGTACATGAAAAAAATCTAAAGAAAATGGTTAAACCAGTAGCATGAATCATCTGCAGCTTAAATAATGTTAATCTTTCCTGCATTTCCATTTTTGTGGTATGTTCAACCCTAATATATTTGAACATTAGCAATGATTATGAGTTGTAATAGATAAATAGAGATTTGTTTAGCCACCCTTGAAAAAGCATGATTTTCAAATACTTTCATCTCAACAGGCTCATGTAGATGTAGTAAGTGATTTATTTCCACAGATACCTAATATGCCAAACCTAGGTTCTTAAAGTGTATAATGAAAATCCCCCTAAATAGGACATTGTTAAAATTGTTCTTTAGAATCTTCCATCTTTACCCTTTATGTTGTATCCAGGTTAGAATTAGTCTTTAGAGTAATTCTAGATATAGAATAAGTTATAGAATCCGAAGAAGGAGGATGAAAATATTTGCTGGATTTCAAATGACCTGCAGACTATGGTTCATAGAACATCATTCTGAAAGTCTGTTCTTGCACATTTTCACGAAATTGCTTGATTGATCATTTTTTTAGAAGTTAATTTTAAGGTAGTTTTTCCCTATGATACTGATTCACACTTTTCAGCTTACAAACATAATATATATTTATTAAAACAAATATTTATTGAACATCTACTTCTTGCTAGTTACTATACCAGAGGCTGAGTATTTGGTGGCAAACAACAACAATAAAAACACTGTAATCCTTGCCTTCATGAAGCTTAGAGTTTACTGGGAAGTCAAACATTAAAGAAGTAAACAAGTGAATAAATCTGATAATTAAAGGTGATGAAAATTGCCTTGAAAGAAATAAACAGAAAAGGGCTACTTTAAACAGGTATTAAGGATAATTGTTTTTCCTACTTTCATATACCACTCAGCCACTCAACACAGCACTTCTGACACCAGGTGTTGGTTGGGGGGTTCCCCACATATCAAGCAGATTTTCCCACAGATACCACCTAGTGTCCTCTGAATCAATTCAGTGCCGAGACTATCTACCTGGAGATAGCATCAGACTCCACAGGTTCAGGGCCCAGTCCCTCAAGACTACCCCCCACTTCAGATGCCAATCACAAGTTCCAGGTTGTGACCTGTGCTTCTAACCGGGGACAGGCTGTAAATTGGGCTTCCCATGACTCCCTTCTTAGGTTCTATTAATTTACTAGGATGGCTCATGGAATTCAGGAAAACACATTACTTGCATTTACTGGCTTATTAATAAAGGATGTAATAAAGGATACAGATGAACAGCCAGGGGATACAAAGGGTGAGATCTGGAAGGGTCCTGAGTACAGGAGCTTCTGTCCCCATGGAGTTGGTATGTACCACATTCCAGGCACATGGATGTGTGTTTGCCAACCTGGAAACTCTCTGAACCCCATAGTTAAGGGATTTTTATGGGGCCTTCATCATGTAGGCATGATCGATCATTAACTAAATTTCCAGCCTCTGTCCCCTCGCTGGAGAATGGAGGTAGGGGCTGAAAGCTCCAAGTTTATAATCATGGTTGGTCTTTCCAGTGACCAACCCTCATCTAGGAGCCAGGCAAGAATTGCCTTGGTAGAACAAAAGACTGCTGCTTTTCCGTGGACAGGAAAGTCCACGGGATTTAGGAGCTCCGTGTCAGGAACGAGAGCAAAGACCAAACATTAGAACCAAAGATTCTCCTAGCACCCCTGTAACTTAGGAAATTACAAGGGTGTTGGGAGCTCTAGGCCAGGGACTAGAGGCAGAGACCATATATATATTTCTTATTTCACAACAGGAAAGGAGAGAAGGCCTCTGAGGAAGTGACATTCCAGCTGAGACCTGAAGGGTAAGTAGAAACCAGGCAGAAGAATTAGAAGGGGAGAGGGGAGAGGGAAAAGCCTGTGCCAATGCCCTGAGATTGGAATATGCTTTTTGTGTTTAAGAAAATAACAGAAAGTCAGTATTATCTTTACCACACTGTTATACTTTTGGCTTTTTTTTTTTTTTTTTTTTTTTGAGACGGAGTCTCACGCTGTTGCCCAGGCTGGAGTGCAGTGGCGCGATCTCGGCTCACTGCAAGCTCCGCCTCCCGGGTTCCCGCCATTCTCCTGCCTCAGCCTCCTGAGTAGCTGGGACTACAGGCGCCCGCCACCGCGCCCGGCTAATTTTTTGTATTTTTAGTAGAGACGGGGTTTCACTGTGGTCTCGATCTCCTGACCTTGTGATCCGCCCGCCTCGGCCTCCCAAAGTGCTGGGATTACAGGCTTGAGCCACCGCGCCCGGCCTTTTTTTTTTTTTTTTTTTTTTTTTTAATGAGACAGAGTCTCGCCCTGCTGCCCAGGCTGGAGTGCAGTGGCGTGATCTCTGCTTACTGCAACCTCTGCCTGCTGGGTTCAAGTGATTCTCCTGCCTTAGCCTCCCAAGTAGCTGGGATTACAGGCACACACCGCCATGCATGGCTAATTTTTGTATTTTTAGTAGAGACAGGGTTTCTCCACATTGGCCAGGATGGTCTCAATTTCCTGACTTCGTGATCCGCCCACCTCAGCCTCCCAAAGTGCTGGGATTACAGGCATAAGCCACCGCACCGAGCCCAAATACTGTATTTTAAGATTGACTATACCATACCTTTGGAAACTGTATGCTGCCAGCTTATCTAAACATTCATCTACTCTTTTCTATGCTTACCATCAATAAGAATTTTTATTACTTTTATTGGATCATTGCAAAAATGTCCTAATTAAACTCCATCCCTCCAATCTCTCCCTAAATTGTGACTATATTAATCCAGCCAAGAAAAATCTCCTATACTTTGACTGGTTTGAGGATTATGTCTGAGTTATATTAAATCTGAAAATTTAGTTTATCTAAATGAATTTAGAACGTTCAAACTTGTCTTAAGCGTTGACCTAATATTGTATAAGATCAGATCTGGGGGAATGAGCCAGAAAGAAGACTAGGCTCCAGGAACAAGGAAGATACTGTCCCATGGTTTATTCATAGCAACTTCAAGGACAGTTTATCAACTTTCCTTGATCTCTTTCCCTCCTCCAAAATAAGTATTCTTGCTCTGAGTTTCCTTGATACCCTGCACGTACCTCTTAGAACAATTATCATATTATGTTTTAGTTGTGGTATCCTTACCTTTCTAAACCCTTTAAGGACAGAAAATGAGTCTTGTTCTTCTCCAGGTGCTCTGTACTTACCACAGTACCTAAAGGATTTAAGTGTAAAATCAAGATATGTTGAATGAATTAATGAGTAGCAGCAAGGCTGGATTGGCAAAATGGGACTTAGTCATGGAAAGCCTTGAATGCCATTTATTTATTCATTCTGTACCAGGAAATGTGCAGGAAATGGGAGGGAATGACATCCAGAGCACTACAGTACAATGGCGGACAGGGCAGAGTTAATGGTATTCTCTCCTCCAAGTAAACCCTTTACTCCAGGTCATTCATTTATAAAGCCTTAATGCAAACTGAACTTCCCTCCAGGAAGATTTATTTCACATCTTTGGTTCAAACTGCTCTTGTCTTAATCTGAGGTCCTGTAGCACTGTCCATACATTTATGCATCTAGTTGCATTCTGTTTGTATTGCTAGATAATTGTTTAAAGTGACTTTGTATTATTTTTCCAGTGAGATCTTTAAGTGCTTTGGGAATTTGTACCTCTTTTTTCTAATCTTTTAAAATTTTTGCTCCCCATCCCAGCATTGAGCAAAACGCTAGGTGTTTAATAGTTAAGTCTGTCTGTTTCCTCAAATACTAGAAATTCACTTAGTTTTTATTTGAATGTAGGAGAATGAGCTTGAAAAATCTAAAATAAAAAAAAAGTTGGTTTGGGTTTTATACCTAAGGTATATTAGAGCTGAGAATTTTCGTCTGCTATAATAACTCTTAGATCTTTAGAACACTCAGACTTGTCTAGTAGTTGACCTAACATTAAATATGACCTGTTCTTGGGAACTGACCCAGAAACAAGGCCAGCCACAGATAGGATAGAGACTGTCTGCAAATGGTTTATTCATATTAATTCACAGGTATCCATTTCATTAGTTTCCTCTAGTGCTTTGCTACACCCCATCCAAAAAATGAGATGAAGTCTCTGATTTCTTCTTTCTAAGGTACTAAAATAAAAAAGAGGAGACAGAAATATCTCTTTGCTGCACCGTTATATCTCACTGATTGACAAGATCTTGCCAAAACAATGCAAGCCCTGAGAGAGAGGGGAGAGAGAGGTCTCATGACCTTTTAGCCTTGGAATGGGAGGGCTGACTCCAAAAGAATTGATCCACTGGTTTCCAAAATAGCAAAACCGAAGACAAAAGGATGAAGATACGTGTTCTGAATCCTCTCAAACGGAGCAGATAGGGAACTTTGTTTAGAATAATTACATTATTCACACCATCCTTGGTACTGAATGTTTCATTTGTCCATTGAAATGAAGGTCACTGTTTCCCTCCCACACCCAAAAATGTGTGGGAGTAGCCATGAATGCCTAGGCATTTTTCAGAATTCTCTTTGTCCCACTTCTTTCTAGACCTGCAAACTTTTCTGACTTTGAGTGAACTCAGTATGTTTCAGAACCATGAAATAGTGCCTGACCTGCCTGATGCAATTTGGAACGAAGTCTTGGCAAACACACTGCCCCCAGACAGAATTCAACAGTTCTTCTGGTTTTCCTCAACATGTAACCTTCCCACCTTTTTAGCACTTGGCTTAATTCTGCCTTGAGTTAGTTGTTTTCCTATCTGTCTTTCCTCTACTTCAGCAGTCCCCAGCCTTTTTGGCACCAGGGACCAATTTCATGGAAGACAGTTTTTCCACAGATGGGGTGTGGCAGGGGGATATTTCGGGATGAAACTGTTCCACCTCAGGTCATCAGTTAGGCATTAAATTCTCATAAGGAACACACAACCTAGATCCTCTGCATGCCAGTTCACAGTATACAATAAGGTTCGCACTCCTATGATGATCTAATGCAGCTGATCTGACAGGATGTGGAGCCCAGGTGGTAATGCTCGCTCAGCCCCGCTCACCTCCTGCTATGTGGCCTGGTTCCTAACAGGCTGTGGACTGGTACCGGTATGTGGCCCAAGGGTTGGGGACCCCTGCTCTACTCCCTCCTAAGTGTAAGAGTTGATGCTATGTGTTAGTCATCTTTGATCTTTCATTTTACCTTCTTCCAGCAGGGGCTGGAATTGCTACTGGCTTGCTGTATGGTCTTGAGCAATTCATTTAACCTTTCTGAGCCTGGTTGTTAAAATCTATGAAATAGATTATTGTGAGATTAAGTGACATACTACAGGTTGAGCATTCCTAATCCAGAAATCCAAAATTCAAAATGCTCAGCATCAAAAGCTTTTTGAGTCCTGACATGATGCTCAAAGGCAATGCTCATTACAGCATTTCAGATTTTGGATTTCTGAATTCGGATATTGAATCAGTAAGTATAATGCAAATATTCCAAAATGCAAAAAAATCCGAAGTCCAAAACACTTCTGGTCCCAAGTATTTCAGATAAGGGATACTCAACCTGTATGATGTTCATTGTAATTATTATCACCTATCTTATCAGGATGTTATGAGATCATTTATGGAAATTTCTTTTGAAGGGTAAAAGCTCTATTGGCATGTAATGTAAAGCTCCACTAAACAATAATAGCTACACAGATAGAGTACCAGGTACAGTTATGTTTACATGTATGATCTCATTTAATCCTCCCAATAACCTTGAGAGGTTGGAACTATTTTTTTTTAATTTATAGTTGAGAGAACTGAGGTGCAAAATGTTAAGTAACTTTCCCAAGTTCACACAGCTAGTAAGTGGCAGAGCTAGGATTCAAAACTAAGTGGCCTGGCTGGCTCCAAAGTTTCCACTCTCAACCACTACACTATGCTATGCTATAACCAAATCTGGCTTTGCAAACCACACCCACTAATTAATAGTTATGTGACCTTACACAAGGTTTTAAAATTTTACACCTAATTTCAATCATTTTTAAAATGGAGATAAAACTAATGCCTACCTCATAGGTTCATTTATCCAACAAATATTTCTTGAGCTCCTACCATTTGCTATACGCTAGGTATACCAAAATATCATGATAACTAAATTCATGTAATGCACTTGCCTACTGCCAGGCACATATTAAGTGGTCAATGTTAATTATTATTTTAATTAATAGTAGTAAGCCAGTGACCTCTCTGAGACATATTTCCCAGTCCTTGGCTAGAGATTGTTCTATGTCATCACCATATAGCTGTTTTCTACTGATCCCCTAATTGTATTTGACATTTTCAAGTTGTATTTGAAAAACAAGAAAACAGCAATACAAGCATCTTGCAGGGCTCAACAGAGTGGCTACTTCGAAGTGGATCTGACACATAGTAAAAGCTAGGCAGGGCGTGCAAAATATGCTTACTGCCAAGGAACATGAAGTATATTTGGTGAATGTGAAGATATGAAGATGATCAAATATAATGCTTTTGGGAAATGTGTGGTGAGGTCATCTTGGGAAACAAAGATGTAGCCCCACATTACATCCCTAGTGATACATTAAAAAACCCCAGCATCCTACTTCTCAGAATCCATCTAGGAATGAATGGCTTGTGGTGGGCGCTCTTCTGTGCTGTGCTTTGGTGCTCTCAGGATTCATCCTGTGTTTACCTACCCCATGTTCTGTGAGAGCCAGAAGTAATTTGCTAGGTTACATAAGAGACTTTTTAGCTTACTGGTAATCAAATGAGATGATATGTATGAAATCATTTTGAAACACTACACACACACACACACACACACGCAGAAGGTTTTCTACAAGAGTGTTGTAGTCATGAAGAGAATGCTCACTGTGGGAACCAGATATGGAAAGTACTTTCTTCCTCATTTCTAAGCTTGCTCTCAGCATCTTTTTCTTCCTTACTGTCACTAAGTTTGCCTTCCTGTCCTGACTACTTCCCCTTCTGCACATTTTAGTTCCTAATAATAACAGTAGCTAACATGTAAGTGGTTAAGTGCTTTACATGTATTAATTCATTTAATCATTATAACCACTCTTTGAGTTACATACTGTTATTATCCTTATTATATTTGAGAAAGCTGAGGTACAGAAGGGTTAAGTTACTTACACAAGGTCATACAGCTTAAATTGTAGGGTCAGGCTTTAAAGCTGGGTAGTTTGGTTCCAGAGCCCACACTCTTTATTATGATGCTGTACTGTGTTTTAGTCTGCCATAGGGCCTGCCACTGTCTGAGGTACACATTTCCCAACCTAAAATCTTTTCTATCCTTTTATTTGTCATGTTTTTTTTTTCTTTAGCAGAAGAACTTGAAAATTTTTTAGGCAGCAATTGGCAGCTTTTCTCTTTACCTTCTACAGTTCAATCAATGAAGCCACAATCATTTTTTACTAACACCAACTCTAATATGAATTTGTTACTCAGTTATGAGAAATGCAGAATCTTACCAAGTGGTATAATTCATGCTACAAACTTTGATCTTTAGTGATTGTCTGGGGCAACAATTCTGCACAGTGTTAACTAAACCACTGGCTAGCTTATAAACACAAATCTATTCAAGAAATGAGGTCAAAATCTCAGATATTTTTCTTCTGCTGATTACTTGGTTTAAGATAACATTCAAGCTGCTACTTGCTCAACGGTTAGGCACGAAGTTGGCAGAATCAGCTCTCTTCATGGCATTATAAGAAGAGATGAGCATTGTTTTTGTCGTTTTTTGAGACAGAGTCTCGCTCTGTCACCCAGGTTGGAGTGCAATGGCATGATCTCGACTCAATGCCACCTCCGCCTCCCAGGTTCAAGTAATTCTCCTGCCTCAGCCTCTAGAGTAGCTGGGATTACAGGCGTGAGCCACCGTGCCCAGCCTAGCGTTGTTTTGAAACGTATACAAAATACCTTTCTAAGGTATTAGAATAGAATGGTGTGAAACTAGGACTTGAACAAAATGTTGAGATTAACTAGGTTGTATAAGTGGGCATGGAGAGATTAAGTGACTTGCTCAGGGTTATCCAAGTAGTTAATGATCAAGCAGTGATCTGCAGGTCAATTCCGACCTCCACATCTGCATGCATGGTGCACTGCCCTGAGCACTGCACTTCTGACTGGAACTGTCTCAGACAGGCTGTGTGGACATCCATACAGTGATGTGAAAGACTTCTCAAAGTTGAAAACCCTTTATTAGTTGCCCCAATAAAGGCACTATATTTCACTCAGGAATCATATACTTCATTTTATATTTAAATAACTAGATTCTATGTATCATAGCAGCTTAATTTGAAAGAGCTAAGGGTTTGGCTGCTGTGGCTTAAATCCTAAAGGACAGACTTCTGCTTGTGAGAAAATAGTGGCAGAAACAATGTTATAAAATGTGCATTGATGCCCTCCTAAAATCCTCAAGTGCAATTTTAGGGTAAGAAGCCTCACGTTCTAGAAGTGGCCCTTCTCTCCACACAACTGATGATAATACTAGCTTATTGTCATTTTGATGTGATCTGGATACCTCCTTTCACCGAATCAAAGGAACCATAGCATCAAAGGTTATTCTCTTTTTTTTTTTTTTTTTTTTGAGACGGAGTCTTGCTCTGTCGCCCAGGCTGGAGTGCAGTGGCGCGATCTCGGCTCACTGCAAGCTCCGCCTCCTGGGTTTACGCCATTCTCCTGCCTCAGCCTCCTGAGTAGCTGGGACTACAGGCGCCCGCCACCGCGCCCGGCTAATTTTTTGTATTTTTAGTAGAGACGGGGTTTCACCGTGGTCTCGATCTCCTGACCTTGTGATCCGCCCGCCTCGGCCTCCCAAAGTGCTGGGATTACAGGCGTGAGCCACCGCGCCCGGCCAGGTTATTCTCTTAAGGAAAAGAATTTTCATTCCTTTCTTTGGTTTCTATTAGAGGAATATGTTTTTAATTTTTGTCACCTAGCTGCTGCTTTTTGTAACATTCGACCATACTTAACAAACAATCCATGTCTAAAATATTTTGCAGCATGACAGAAAAGCTCCAACTGCCTTAGGAACTCACTGGCCCTGTCAACAGCCAGACCCCAACATTTGGTGTGTGGGATTCCCTGAGTCCTTGCTCAGCGTATGACCTGTGGACTGGCAGCATGGGTATCATGTGGGAGGTTGTGAGAAATGCAGAGTCTGGGCCGGGCATGGGGGCTCACGCCTGTCATCCCAGCACTTTGGGAGGCTGTGCAGGCGGATCGCTTGAGCCCAGGAGTTTGAGACCAGCCTGGCCAACATGGCAAAACCCAGTCTCCACTAAAAATACAAAAATTAGATGGGCGTGCACCTGTAGTCCCAGCTACTCGGGATGCTGGGGCACAAGAATTGCCTGAACCCAGGGGGTGGAGGTTGCACTGAGCTGAGATCGCGCCACTGTACTCCATCCTGGGCAACAGTGCGAGACTTTCTCTCAAAAAAAAAAAAACAAAAATTAGCCGGGCTTGGTGGCGGGCACCTGTAGTCCCAGCTACTTGGGAGGCTGAGGCAGGAGAATGGCATGAACCTGGGAGGTGGAGCTTGCAGCGACCTGAGATTGCGCCACTGCACTACAGCCTGGGCGACAGGGCAATACTCCATCTCAAAAAAAAAAAAAAAAAAAGAAAGAAAAGAAAAAAGAAAAAAAGAAATGCAGAATCTTAGGCCTGAATCAGAATTTGCCTTTTAACAAGCTCCCCAAGTGATTCCTATATGCATCCCTGGATGCCTTCATAAGAATACCTATTGCTTCTTTCTAGTCCAGAAGTGAGGCTGAGACTTTCTGTACCCCTATCCCAAGATAAAAACCTTAAGTTAAGAAGTCAGTCTGAGCAACATGGCGAAAACCCATCTCTACAAAAAATACACAAATTACCTGGGCATGATGGCATGCACCTGTTGTCCCAGCTATGCAGGTGGCTGAGGTGGGAGGATCACTTTAGCCTGGGAGGTAGAGCTTGCAGTGAACCAAGATTGTGCCACTACACTCCAGCCTGGGCAACAGCGCCAGACCTTGTCTAAAAAACAAAACAAAACAAAACAAAAAACCCCACACAAACAAGAAGTCTTTGATTATTTGGGGCATAGCTTCATTAATTTTGTTGGATAGTTATCAAACCATAGAAATTTGGATTGGAAGAAACCTTAGAGGTCATCAGGTTCAACTGTTATCACTGCTGTGAATTTCAGTATAAAGACTAATGTTTGCAAAAAGGTTAAATTGTGTTCAGGTTATTCTGTTCAAGAAGATAAAAAGTATTTAATTCATGTTAGAAAGGCAGCCATACAAATGGGAGAAGTATATATACTACCAAAAAATATATATACATACATATATATATATTTTTTTTTTTTTGAGACAGTCTCGCTTTGTCACCTAGGCTGGAGTGCAGTGGTGCGATCTCCGCTCACTGCAAGCTACGCCTCCCAGGTTCACGCCGTTCTCCTGCCTCAGCCTCCCAAGTAACTGGGACTACAGGCACCCACCACCACACCTGGCTGATTTTTTGTATTTTTAGTAGAGATGGGTTTTCACTGTATTAGCCAGGATGGTCTTGATCTCCTGAGCTCATGATCTGCCCGTCTCGGCCTCCCAGAGAGCTGGGATTACAAGTGTGAGCCACCACACCCAGCCCCGAGAAGTTTATATATTTAAAAACTTTTAGTGTTAAAGGAAAAAGCTTCAGTTATCTGGAAAGTTTATTGATATGAAATGTCTTGGCCATGATGATATCCCCTAAGGAGAGTTTTATCTTTTAAACTCATATTCCAACTATTTTATATCTGCCAAGCATTACTGTCTTACACAATTATAACTTTAACTTCCCCAACTAAGAAAATTATTACTTATCAAACTAAATTTTCCATAAGGAGAGGAAAAGAGATAAATCTTCCTTGCAGAAGAATTCCAAGCAATATATGTATATAAACGCCTCTTCCTTTCCAGGGCTGTTGGTCTTAGTGACTCAATTCCAAAGAACAAAGTATGAAAAGGAAAAAAACACCAACTTTACAGAGGAAAAACCTGGCAGACACCACCTTAAGCAAATGACAGGGTTAATACCATCAGTGATATGAGAATATTACATACTACCTCACATGATGTGATGAACAGGGCACTTCATCTCTGCAGTATTCTTTCCAAAACTCCATAATGCTAGTCCGATCATGAGAAAAACATAAACCCAGTTCAAAGGATAGACTACAAAATACCTGATTAGTATTCCTCAAAACTGTCAAGGTCCTGAAAAACCAAAGAAAGACTAAGATACTGTCACAGAGCAGAGGTAATCACAGAAGACATTACCACTAAATACAGTGTGGTATCCTGGATTGGATATTGGAACAGAAAAAGAATGTTAGTGGAAAAACTGGGAAGATCCAAGTAAAGTCTGGAGTTTAGTTAATAATGATTTATAGTGTTGGTAGCTTAGTTTTGGCAAATGTATCATAGCTGTGGAAGACAATAACAGGGTAAACCGAAACAGGGCGATGCGTGTACAGGAACTCTGTACTATCTTTGTAACTTTTCTGTAAATCCAAAAACAGATAGAAAACAAAATTTCCCACAAACTCATGAAAATTATTTTAACATATTAAAGTACAGATAGACTTCCACAAGTTTAGAAGGCCAACTTGTGCAAAACACCTACTTACAGTATGCACACTTAATCAGTCTGGCATAGTGCCTCACGCCTGTAATCTCAGCACTTTGGGGGGCCGACTGAGGCAGGAGGAGCACTGGAGCCCAGGAGTTCAAGAGCAGCCTGAGCAACACAGCAAGATTCTGTCTTTAATTTTAAAAAATTAATATCATATTCACACTTAAAGCCCTTCTTGAGGCCTATAGCACCATTTTGCTAGACTCAGAAGTTTAAGGTTTTCAGATTTGAATTCCCAGAGTGTAAAATCAGACTCTGTTTTCTAAAAGTTCATTTAACTCTTGAAAAAATTGCACTGAGAATTTATCTCAGCAGAGTTTGGTGAATTTTGATGAATCATTTAGCCTTCTTGGACCATGGTTATCCCAACTACAAAATAAAGTCCCTCTTAGTTTTAAAATTCTGTAAATATGTCTCTCTCAAACAATGTAAATATTGTTTTAAAGTGAGGTACAAATTCCAAGGGAAAAAATAAAACTTTGACTAGGCAATTGATTCCACAAACATTTATTAAGTGACAATCACTGTGCTAGGTACAGGACCTGTAGCCCTTGCTCTCCAGAGGTCTGGTGAAAGAGAGAGATATATAAACAAGCTGTTACAGCCTGTA